ACTGGTGTAAAGCACACCGTTTTTGATGTAAGAAAAAACAGAAAGTTAGTTAGCTATCAATCTTCTCTACTAATTTGTTCGGAATTAAGATCTTTTAGGATTTCTTGTGTTGTCCATCACTTTTTGTACACCGATTGGCCTGATCACACTGCACCCATGGATGCAGCTCCGATAGTAGGAATGATGAGATATGCCCGTACGTTAGCCAAAGGAAATCCTATCACAGTTCATTGTTCTGCCGGAATTGGCCGTTCGGCTACTTTTATTGGTAGAACAGCAGCATTCTAGGACCGCTACATCAGCACATGTTTTATGTTATAGGTATAGATTATGCAATGCAACGAATACAACGAGACTCTAATGTATCTATGATCGATATCCTAAAGGAACTAAGAAATCAGCGATACCAAAGTGTACAGGGCATTATTCAGTACATTTTCCTGCACATTTGTGTTCTGGAAGGATTTGCTTACGTAAGCGGTTCCAGGACCAAAAATTAATTTAGCCTTTTATGCCGAGTTGAGCAGTTCTTCGCTCTAATGTTTGATTACGCGCTCCAGTTGCACAAGACTGATGCAAAGGAGATTTTTAGGAAGGTGCTGTGCCAAGAAACGAACTTCAGCAGTATTTCAAAGATTATAGACGAATGTTGACACTTTTTAATAAGAAGATTGCAGCCAAACTGAAACAAATGCAGAAATAATGGCAAAATTGTTAACTTGATGTTATTTCTCTAATACTTCTCAACTACATAATAATTAACAAAATATTAATTTTAAAAATGCACTCGTATAGGGTTTTTCGATAAACAATCTTCCTTAACTGTTTGATGTTTGTAATTGGAGCTCAACGATAAACATAGAATAACGTATATTTGCACAGTATTTTTTTTGTCTTAAGAAGATAATCTTCAACAAGCTTTAATGACAAAATGCTAAACATTTCATTTATCTGCCGGCTCTTTTATCTCTGTTCCTGTACATGAATGAACTATAGTCAAAATCAACAGAATAGCTGAAGGCAATAATAAGGCGACAATGATGATAGCAAACGTCTGTTCGCTGACGCAGACATTGCGAATATGCAGGATTGGCTTCTACAATGAGATCACAATGTGTCATTCACAGTGATTAAATGTTTCACACATACCTCATCCACAATATCCAGAGCAGTGAGTTCAGCTCGAACATCAAGAGTGAAGTCGTCCTTTCTGATGCTAAAGGTATAGTTACAAATTAAGCCGCATTTTTATCTGTAACAATCACCTTGGACTTCTGCGAATGCGATTCACTTGAGAATTTAGGGTTCGATTTTTCAGATATATCACCTTATTACCAGCTACTCGCACAGCATGACGTCGAGGTAATTCTGAATGTTCAATCTGGACCAGAACATAAACTCATAAATTTCAAAGGCA